ACAGAGAGCTTCTTGGAAGAGGTAACTTTTGGGTAAGACGTGAGTGTTAGAAGTGGCAGAATACTGGGGCCGGCGGGCGGCATGGTGGTTACGGTGCTGGACTCCCACATGGCCGACATTGGTTCAAGTCCCGGACCTGACAGCTGGCTTTCTCACTCTCTCTCTTTCTGTATCTTTCTTTCTCTGATCAAATTAAAAAAATAATGTTGGATACAGTTAAATAAATAATTCTTTAAAAAATAAAGAAGCGACAGAATACTTGGGGGTAGAACATTCCTAACGGAAAGAACGTGTCCGAAATCCCTAAATTAGAAACAGTGTGAGGAAGAGAAAGCAAACCATGTGGTTAGAGAGTGGTGAATGGAGAGGAGAGTGGGAGAGGAGCTCAGTGTCTCCATACACCGGGTCGTATGGGTGTGCAGGGTTCATAGCTGAAGTTTAGGCGGGGCCAGGAAGGAAGTCATTGGAAGTCCCCCCACCCCCGCAAAGAATTATTTTATTTAACTTTATTTATTTATTTATTTTAATTTGCCCAGAGGGAGAGACAGAGAGGGGTGGGGGGCGGGGGAGAAAGTGTTAGAAAGTAAGCTGCAAGGCCCGGAACTCAAACTGCCTGCCTGGATTTTTTTCCCCCTAAGGAGGTTTTTGCCTTAGGGCATTTGTACTGTAGGGTAGGTGCTAAGAGATGCAGAGACAGTGAGAAGGAAAGTGAGAAATCACCCTTTGGGGGCATGGTCACACTGCAGTCCCTTCTCCATTCTCCCGGGATCTTGGGCACGCCTGCACATGCACCTGGCATGATTTTGAAGCCACTGGGTCCAGGACTTGAACTGCAGTTGGCCCTGTGGGAGTTCAGTGACCTAACTGCTACGCCGTTTGCTGGTCCCCTGTAAATAATAAAATATGAATAGTTCTTGAGCTTCATTCCATTTTCAATGTACACTTTAAAATGTATAGAGGTATAAGCTACCAACTATCATATAGATAATAAAATGTGTGTGGTGTATTTTGATCTAGCCCATTTATATTCATACTCTTGCCTTCACCCTTTTTTGTAGTGTATCTTCTAATCTGAAAAAAACCTTCCATGAAATCTGAGAGACAAGTAACGACACCCGTCTTCCCGAAAGACTGAAATGGGGGCTGTCATTTCGAGGTAAGTGTCCAGTTTTCTGTTTTTAACTTTTTATATAATTTTTCCGGAAATTAAACACAAGGAAAAAGGGAATATCGCCCACCTCCTAATGTTTTCGTTAACCTACGGGGTGGCCAGGGCCACCTGGGTCTTCCGTAAAGCCAGTCTGGTATTGAGGGTGAGGTTGACCACGGAGTGAACGTGAAGAAGCCGAGCTTCTCTCAGGAGAGTCAGGAGCGTCGGGAGCTCATTGGGAGGCTAATTGAAACCCGGTAAGACCTTTTCAGCGCCCGCAGTGAGGACCTGATTGGTGACCGACACGGAGCATGTCAGGAGGGTGTTGTCGCAGCTGCTGCTCAGGTCTCAGTGGAGTGGAGAGTGAGGAAGAGGCAGCACAGTCTGAGGGTTTCAGCTCTTCACTCAGTTTTTAAAGAAGAATTATTAATTTAATTTTGTTATTTTTATTATTACTTTTAATGTGCTATACAGTCCACGTGCCCACCAGAGGAAGAAGGAGAAAGACAGAGAAAGCCATCAGGTCCGGGACTCGAACCATGGTTGGCCACATGGGAGTCCAGTACCCCAGCCACCATGCTACCTGTTGTCTCCTTAATGCTTTTGTGCGCGCGCGCGCGCATGTGCTTCTTTTAGAGAGACTTTACTTTTGTGTGTGTGTGTGCGCGCGCATGTGCTTCTTTTAGAGAGACTTTTGTTATAGGGCGGGTGCTCTAGCCAGAGACAGAGAAAGACAAAGAGAAAGTGAGAACTCACCCCCCCCAGGGGGTGATGGCCACATCACAGTCCCTTCTCCTCCCCTCTCCTGACGGATTTTGGCCATGCATGCACACATTCATGATGTGAGTTTTAAGCTGCTGGGCCTGGGACTTGGGCCTTGGTCGACTACATGGGAGTCCAGCGATGTAACCAATAGGCCATCTGCTGGTTCCCGCCATTCAGGATGCACCAGTCACTTCTCAGCGTTAGCATTATAGTCAGGTTGACCATCCGTCCTGATTCAAGCATCTCGTCGACCACTTCGGACCCAGCTGTTTTTTTTTTCCTGCCAGAGAAAGTGTGCACTTGTTCAGAGACAGAGAGGAAGAAAGCAACCCCCAGTGGGGTGTGGTCATGCTGCCATCCTGTCTCCTTTCTCTATCCTTTTGGGATTTGGGCATACATGCATGTGCATGTGCTTGCTGGTTTTTTTTTTTTTTTCCTTCCTTTTTTTTTTTTGGAGAGGTTTTTGCGATAGGGTGTGTGCACTCACCAGAGAGATAGAAAGCGAGAGCCCCCCCCCCCCCCCAAGGCAGTGATCACGCCACAATCCTTTCTTCTCCAATCTCTTCTGAGGATTGTGAGCATGCATGCACAGGCGTCCAGTGTGAGTTTTAAGCCTCTGGGTCCAGGACTTGAACTGCAGTTGACTGCATGGTAGTCCAGTGATGTAACCATTACACCATCTGCTGATCCCCCCCAACTGTTTTTTTTTTTTTTTTTTTCCTTCCTTTTTTTTTTTTGGAGAGGTTTTTGCGATAGGGTGTGTGCACTCACCAGAGAGATAGAAAGCGAGAGACTACCCCCCCCAAAACAGTGATCACGCCACAATCCTTTCTTCTCCAATCTCTTCTGAGGATTGTGAGCATGCATGCACAGGCGCCCAGTGTGAGTTTTAAGCCTCTGGGTCCAGGACTTGAACTGCAGTTGACTGCATGGTAGTCCAGTGATGTAACCATTACACCATCTGCTGATCCCACCCAACTGTTTTTTTTTTTTTTAATCGTTCATTTTAATCAGTGGGCAAAGTGAGGTTTCAGGGCCATGGATGAAAACTATGTTATTTGAGGAGTGTAAGTAAACAAAAGATTGATTAATTACCCACTTAATGGTAATTTAAAAAGTCAAAAACTTATTTAAGTACGTGATGATCTATTTGATGATGAATATCTTCTCCTGGAGTTTGCTAAGCAGTATATTTATCTTCATTCATTTATTTTTTAATTTGACCAGAGAGAGACAAGAAAGAGAGAGGGAAATTGAGAAAGCAAGCCACCAGGTCCAGGACTCGAACTGTGGTCAGCCATGTGGGAGTGTCCAATGTCTTAACTGCCACGCCACTTGCTGGTCCCAACTATTTTTTTTTAAAGAATTATTTACTCAATTTTATTTATTAATTCACCCATTTTTAAATTTGACCAGAGAGAAGCACACACACACAGAGAGAGAGAGAGCGAGAAAGCAAGCCAGCAGGTCCAGAACTCGAACTGTGGTCGGCCATGTGGGAGTGTCGAGTGCCTCAGCCACCATACTCCCTAATTGTTCCCCCACCCAACTATTTTAAATATCCTTATTTTTTTTCTCAAGTTTACTGGTTAAATAGTAAGTAACATAGTCTACACTATCCCTGCTGGGTTTATTTTTTTCTGTACCCTAGTTATTCTGTACACAAGACAGTATACTATTAAGAAGACATAATCTTTTCCTGGGTTTATCTTGCCTGCTAGATATTTTAGCATTAGCAAGTAATATATTTTAGGTAAAAGGGAATGATCCGTTACAGTAGTTTAAATATTACACAAGAGGAATTCGTTTCTTACCCTACTGAGTAGGTAAGAAAGTTGGAGATTAAGGACATAGGCAGTGGCTTAATTCACACAAAAACATAGCCATCTTTCTGCTTAAAAACTAGAAGATAAAGATCCTTTTTTTTTTTTTTTCTTTTTTTTTGGAGAGGTTTTTGCTATAGGGCGCGTGCGCTCGCCAGGAAGACAGAGAGACAGAAAGTGAGAAATCAGCCCCCAGTGGGGATGGCCATGCCGCAATCCCTTCTCCATTCTCCTCTCGGGATCTTGGGCACGCACGCACACCTACCTGGCATGAGTTTAAGCCACCGGGTCTGGGGCGCGAACCATGGCGGACTACCTGGGAGTCCAGTGACATAGCCACTACACTAACTGCTGGTCCTCAATAAAGGAGATCCTGAATCAAGACATTTTGGGGCAGAAGAGGAAGAAAACTGGGATTTCTTACCCTATTTTTAAAATAATGTAGAGGTTATCTCTTAGGCGTATAGGTAGTTAGTTGGTGGTAGAGTTGGGATCATGAGGGAAGCATTTAGGAAAGCGTCGCCGGGTGATTACCAAATGCTCCAGGTGTTTACCGAGTGCCTACACTGTGTCAGGCACTTCTATAGCCAACATCGGCCTCCTCACGGCGCTAAACATTGACGTGAACGAGACAGACACTGAATCACCCTGTAATTAAAACAGGAAGAGAATTAAAGCAGGACACTTGCCAGAGGACTGTTTGATGCTTGTGAAGAGTTAACACTAAGGTCGACACTACAGCAAGAATTTAGGCACTTGGAGGTCAGACTAAGTACAGACTTCAGGATGGAATGGGCTGGATGTGTTTGAAGGATGTGAAAAATTCCAGCGGTAGGACCAGGGAGGATGAGATCTACGGTGTCGTGAGATAAAGAGGGTGAAGATGTCATCAGAGCCCAGCCACAGGGCCCTGTGGCCCTGAAAAGGAGTTTAGACTGAAAGAGGTGTTATAAGGTTTTAAAGTTTTATTTTTTAGGTTTTGTCATAGGGTACATGCACTTGCTGGAGAGACAGACAGAGAGGGAACGTGGGAAATCACCCCTTAGTTGGGATGGCCATGCCACAGTCCCTTCTCCTCCATTCTCCTCTTGGGATTTTGGGCACTCATACTCACATGCTTGACACAGGTCCAGGATTCTAACCCTGATCAGCCATGTGGAATCCAGTGCCTTAGACATGCCATCCGCTGACCCCAGTCTTGGGAAGGTGTTTTTTTTTTTAAATAATTATTAATTCCATTTGTTATTTTATTTATTTATTTTTTAAACTTTGACCAGAGAGAGACAGAGAGAAAGGGAAAGTGAGAAAACAAGTCGCCACGGGTGGGATTCGAACTGCGGTCAGCCCTGTGGGAATCCAGTGCCTTTAACAACCGCTTTAACCAGCCATTAAACACAAAATTGTCATAACGTAATGTATGTTTTAAGATTCTTCTGGCTGTTAGGACCAGGAGTTGACATAATGGCTATGTCGCTGGACTCCCATGTAGTTGACTGCGGTTCGAGTCTTGGACCCGGCGGATTAAACTCATGCTGGGCGCGTGTGCATGCGTGCCCAAGGTCCCCAGAAGAGAATGGAGGAGAAGGGATTGCGGCATGGCCATCCCCCCTGGGGAGGAGATTTCTCGCTTTCAGTCTCTCTGTCTCTCTGTCTTTCTGGCAAGTGCACATGCCCTCTAGCAAAAACCACTCCAAGAAAAAAAGATTCCTCTGGTTGCTCTATGAAGGTGGGTGGTAGGTACAGAGGCTGTATGAACTGGCCTGGCTAGGCGGTGGTGGAGCGACGTGAGATCATCCGGATGGCATGGACAGGCCTGCGGGGCCGTTGGAAGGGCCTGCTGAGCATCTGCCGACAGAGGAAGAGCTGGTTAGCTGCTAAGCTTATAATAATGAACAAAAATAGATTCTGTTTCATGGAGCTGATGTTCTAGTGAGGGTAAGGAAGACAACAAACGTGTAAGATTTTAGGTGGGGACGGCTTATCTTACGGCTTCACACCGTCTCGCCGTTGTCCATGGTATAGGGAAATATGTTAGGTAGAGGGCAGTGTGGATGCAGGTGGGGTAGGCTTATTATTGTATAAGGTGTTCTTAGGGAAGCCCTCTCACAGGGTGACCTCTGAACTGGCAGCTCTGAATGAAGTAAAGGAGCAACCACGTGAACTTTGGAGTATGGGCGGGGAGGCTTCTAGGCTGCCTTCAGAACTCAGATACAAAGGCCCTCGGCCCGGGCTGTGCTCTGAGCAGTGAGGGCCTGCGTGCCTGCAGTGGAGCGAGAGGGGGCAGTCGGTGCCCACAGTGGCCTCTCGATTGTGGTAGAGGCGTGGCCCAAGTGCAGACCAGATCCAGGCCTTTGGGTTTTCTTCTGTGTGATGATGGGGAAGAAGAGCCGGCATGAGGGTGTGGGGCAGTGAAGGGCA